CTTAAACTCGGATGCGCATTTCATGCGACCCAAATCTAAATCCTAAAACATTGAATAAAATATTTTCCGGATTGCGGGTGCATTTCATGTGACGTAATCCAAAGACATGTTTTTAAACGATGTTCATAATTTTTAATTTTTTTTTTTAAATAATAATTATAATAATAAAGTGGTAAAAAGTTAAGATTGGCACATCGGTTCACAATTGTATTAAAATCAGATAAATAAGTTAAATATGACAATTGAGCGACCGTGCTAGAACCACGGAACTCGGGAATGCCTAACACCTTCTCCCGGGTTAACAGAATTCCTTATCCGGATTTCTGGTACGCAGACTGTAATATGGAGTCATTCTTTTCCTCGATTCGGGATTAAAATTGGTGACTTGGGACACCCTAAATCTCCCAAGTGGCGACTCTGAAATAAATAAATAAATCCCGTTTCGATTGTCCTTTAATTGGAAAAACTCCCCTGTACCCTCGCGGGTGCGGAAAAAGGAGGTGTAACAACGATCCCACTGAGTAATTCTGGTGAAACATAATTCATAATCCATAGCAAAACGATTGCGTTGCATCGCTCCCAAAGATCTACGAGATTTGTACCAAAACTTTCCTTTTTACAAGCGCCGTAGATGAACCCTAGTTTGTTCCGTCGTAGGATTGCAATTCTCATCGCTCGACTCCATACGGAATAGTTTTCTGGTCCTCGTAACTAAAGGGAAATCAACACAGCTCCGGAATTGTCAATCGATTGAGAAAAAGTGGATGATTGTGACACAATTTCTCTGGTAGTTCATTATCAACAATCGCCATGGCTGAGCTCTATCAAAATTCTCTGATGAAGAGCTAGCTAGTAGGGCGATTACTCTAAGCGACCATACTTATGGTTGATTGCTCTGATACCATGTCAAGTTTAGTGAGGAAGATCATTCATGAAGGATTGAGCTAAGAGCTTCATCTTCTTACTGAAAGAGAAAAATGAGTTACAGTACATTTAACTTCCTAAACTACTGTTATAGAGCTAACATACCGACTAACCACTAAGTTAGTTACTAACTTCTACAAATGACATATACACCCATCATCTTAAGTTAGTTTACACAATACTACCCTACTCCTAGGGGTGTACAAACCAAACCGATAACCCGCACCAACCCAAAAATCCGAGTCAACCCGAAAAAAAAACCCGGCTAGTGGTTTGGTTTGACTTGGTTTGGTATTGGAAAATAAAACCCGACCACAATAGGGTTGGTTTGGTATTAACTAAAAAAAGTCAAACCGAAACCAAACCAACCCGACATTACATGTATACATATTTTATACATTAGATAAATAAAAATATTTATTAGAATGTAAGTTATAATTATTTCTTAATTTTTATTATAATTTCTTTATATAGCATAATATTTTAAATTGGTATTATAGCCCATGTAAATATTTGTTTTTGTTTGGCCCATAAAAGAATAATTGAGCCCAAACCAAAACCTAATCTTAAAAGCAGATAGATTGTCCAAAAGGTGTTCTGAAACACATAAACAATTGAAATCATCTTGCCTCTTCTCCAAAGGCAAAAAACCTACGCTCGTAAAGCTCTCATCGGTAAAGCTCTTTTGCTCTCATTTTACATGTTTTCTTTTAGCTGCATACATATACCTTGCTTTTCCCCAATTAACTAAGATGTGGCAAGCTAGCTTCAAGTCCAAGTGGTTACATTGGTCCTTTATCAGAAGATCAAAGTAGAAGTAATGATACAGATATAAGGGAAACAAGTGAAAAAAGATGCTTAGCTTCTCAAGAATGTTGTTCCAATACCTTTAATTCATCCTAGTTGGATTCTTTTATAACAGCCTTAATTTTACTTTAGCCCCAAATTTATGATTGGGGTGAATCTAAAAACTCATATTCTGTACCCTCCCTGCTTTATGCTTTCAATATAACAGCCCCCTCCCTCATATTAAAAAATGTAGAAAGATTAGACAGTGATCCTGTTATTGCACCAGAAGTTTCGCAATCCAGCTAATTCTGAACAATCTAGCCTTCTGTTTATATTGCTTAGTCCATGACCTCTATAAATATATTGCACCTTCTTTGGCTTCACTTCAACATAAAATGACCTCTATAAATATAGTCCAGTGATCTGTCATTTGCTGTCACAGTGCGAAGGTAAATTCCATGAGTTAAATAGTAACTGGATATGTTCTATTTGCAGGAACTCTTTCTAAGAATGGAAACTACAACTTCTGGAGCAGATGCTGAGGTGGTTGTCAATAATCCTTCGCCAGTGGCAGCTCAAAAACAAAGTGCAGACACTCCTCATCGACGCACTCCTCCTAAGAAGCAAAAAAGAACGACTCCATCAGAAAAATCTAAATCTGGGAATAGTGGCAGAGAGACGTCCGAGATTTGGAATCACTTCTCCAAATTTACTGCTAAAGGAGGTAAATGTAGGGCAAAATACAATTATTGTCCTAAAACATTTGCTACAGGTAGCAAGAATGGGACTACTACATTATGGTCGCATTTAACTTCTACATGTCACAAATCTCCCTTTAGAGCCATTGATAAGAGAAAATCAACATTAAAATCTATCAAGGAAGGGTAGCTAGAAGGTGGTTCGGGTGCTACTGAAAGGGTAGTGTATAATGTGGATGACATTAGGAGGGCAATTGTCGAATTTGTAATTCTTGATGAGCAACCTTTTAGAGTTGTTGAAGGAGAAGGATTTAAGAAATTAATGGCTAAAGCCTTACCTAATTTCGAATTACCTTCTCTTGTAACTGTTGCTAGACATTGTTTGAGGATTTATCATGAAGAGAAGGAAAAAATTAAAAAACTTATTAAGAACCAACGCGTATGTCTCACTAGTGATACATGGACATCAATACAAAACTTAACTTATATGGTTGTTACTGCACATTGGACAGATGATCAATGGAATCTACAAAAGAAAATTTTGAACTTTTTTCCAACACCGGATCACAAAGGTGAGACTATTGCAAAGGGAATTGAAGCATGTTTATTTGGTTGGGGCACTGAGAACTTGTTTACAGTGACTTTGGATAATGCAAGTGCTAATGATGCTGTCATTAAGCATTTGAAGTTGCGTATTGATGATTGGAAAGGGGCAATACTTGGAAATGAGTTTTTGCATGTTAGATGCAATGCTCATATTTTGAACTTGATTGTAAAAGATGGGTTAGATGAACAAATTGAGCCTATTACTCGTGTAAGAAATGCGGTAAAATATGTTAGGTCTTCTCCTTCAAGATTTGCTTCTTTCAAGTCATTTGTTGAGAAAGCTAAGATAGATACCCATGATCTTGTAAGTCTTGATATTGAAACAAGATAGAATTCCACATATACAATGTTAGATACAGCTCTAAAATTTGAAAAAGCCTTTACAAAAATGTATGTGGATGACCATAAGTATCAAAAGTATTGTCAAGAAATAAGCGCTTTAAGAGGAAATCCATCTGCAGACGACTGGAAGAATGTGAAAGCTTTTATCAAGTTTCTTAACATTTTCTATCAGACAACTTTAAAATTTTCAGGCAGTTTATATGCTACTTCCAACTCTTTCTTCCATGAATTTTTCAATCTTCGAAATGCTATTATAAAGCATACCAAAAGCGATGATCGTACTTTGAATGATATGGCAGGAAGAATGAAAAGTAAACTTGAGAAATATTGGGGTAAGTTTGAGGATATGAATATGTTATTGCTTGTTGCTGTTATGTTGGATCCTAGATACAAGATGAAGTATGTGAACTTCATTCTTACTGATGCATTTGGTTCTTTGTTGGGAAGATTGAAGTCCGAAGATGTGGTAAGCATTTTAACTCGCTTGTATGATAACTACAATGATTCTTTTTTTGAGGCTTCTAGTGACAATATTGGAGGCGATACTAGCATGAGTGAAGTTGGTGATTTGTTGCAATCAAAGTGGGAGAAACTTTTGGAAGATGAGGGAAATATTAAAAAAAATCTGATCTTGAGATATATTTGATGGATGATGTGGTGAAGATCAAGGATCTTAATATCTTGGCATGGTGGAAAGTTTCATCTAGTAAATATCCAATTGTTTCAAAGATTGCAAGGGATGTTCTTTCTATTCCTATTTCTACAGTTGCATCGGAGTCTGCTTTTAGTACAGGTGGTCGAATTTTAGATTCTTATAGGAGTTCTTTATCACCAAAAACAATGGAAGCACTTATTTGTACTCAACAATGGATACGATCACCTTCCAAGGAATATAAGTTTGAAGACATGTTAGAGGTGTAAGCACGTGATTTTTGCCCTATAAGAGAATTACTCCCAAAAAATTCAAAAATAAAATGA